TCAGACCAACAGATATAGAAACTGACAGACAAATTCATAGTTAGCCACGCATTTAAATGAATGGCGGTCAGTCTGCATATTCAGAGCGGAGCGAGCAAATCGTATATCGAACACATGTAACGTCTGATAATTGCCTGTAGCATGGTCAGTGATAATCGAGCTGATGCTGGAAACCTATCAGTCCAACAGACAAGCGTTTAACCGGTTGGAATTATTCGTGGATCAAAGTTACACCCTCTGACGAAACCGAGTTTTTTACCACTGACCACCTGCTAAGCTCAAGGTGCTAGGTAATTCTCCAGTGGGATCGTTGTTTCATCAACAAGTTGGTTGGATTGTGAGAATTAACGCCTCTATATTCAGCAAAATCCATAAAACTTTTAGTGGTGTTCTACGTACTCCAAACTGATGAACAGGAGAACGAAGTACTTCAGTAATTTGCGTTACCCTGGCAACCGAGTGTTTTTTTGTAATTTCTTCTTAATTGCGAGTAGTCCATTAAGACAATTCTTCCAATCACCATCGAGAGAGCTCGCGTTAACAATACGCGTTGTTCAATTGTTTTCTTGGTTCCAGCCGAATGATGTAGATAGAAAGCCCCCTTCCCAGGCACATTTGTTATCAAACTCTCGACGCTTGATGGAGGCCGAAACCGAGGAAGAATATGAAGCCACTTGGCGAAGGCTGCACCGTGCACTTGAGGTTCGCTGATTCTTTTTTCTTATCCGATTTTTCTCAACAAAATAATATCTGAAAGTACGATGAAGGATTACTTAAGTTAAGAATGGAGTTGAGGATGCATTCAAGAGAATAATGGGTCATCCGTCGAATGTTTCATCGCCCATTTCTTAGTGCCACCCAAAAATTCGACGTGATTCGTTAAGATGTGCGACAAATCTTTTATAGTCTATCTAGAACCTCACAAAACTATTCTTCTCGCTACTTTCAGCTCGGCCACATTGTTAAGGAAACGTTTCGCGACGTCGTCATGGATGTGACAACCCACCATAAGCCAACGGTAAAGGCTTTGTCCAAGAGGGATGAGCTCATTTGCTTCCAGGCGTTATTCGATCAATTCCGAACGCGCTGCTTCACAGTTCAGCAGGCAAGTTGACCTCGTGATGCATTCATTACTAGCCAATGCATTCACCCAGGGAGTCACGTAAGGCGAGCGTCAGTCTCAAGATTACTCTCAGCTGAACGTCCAGCAAATGGCAAATGTGGAACTCACATCAATAGCACCTTCGGTCTTTACTTGAAATTGGACGTTGTTGCCGTAACCTGGTGTTAGTTCAAAATCTTGTAAGATTTTTCCCATCATAGCCCGTTATCACTATGTCGACTGATGGAAATTGGTATGTGATGTAGATAAATCGGCTCAATTCAGTTCAGTTCACTTCAGTTCAGTTCAGTGCAGTTCAGTACAGTTCAGATCAGTTCAGTTTCAGTTCAGTTCGATTGAGTTCATTTCAGTCAGGTTCAGTTCAGTTCAGTTCAGTTCAGTTCAGTTCATTTTTGTTCCGTTCAGTTCACTTCAGTTCAGTTCGTTTCAGTCAGTTTCAGTTCAGTTCAGTTTAGTTAGGTTCAGTTTTGTTCAGTTCAGTTCAGTCCAGTCCAGTTCAGTTCAGTTCAGTTCGGTTTTTTTCAGTTCAGTTATAAAATATATTATAAAAGCTAGTTCAGTCCCAGTAGTTCTTTCAAGTGGTAGACTGCGTCAGCCAATACGTTTTTGGTTCAGTTCAGTTCAGTTCAGTTCATTTCAGTCCAGTCCAGTTCAGTTCAGTTCAGTTCAGTTCAGTTCAGTTCAGTTCAGTTCAGTTCAGTTCAGTTCAGTTCAGTTTTGTTCAGTTCAGTTCAGTTCACTTCAGTTCAGTTCGTTTCAGTCAGTTTCAGTTCAGTTCATCAGTTCAGTTCAGTTCAGTTGAGTTCAGGTCTAGTGAGCAAATCTGGCTTAAATCTTTAGTTTTGTAAATCAAAACGCACAACTTCGAAGACAATTACCCGAACAATTGGATTGCCAATCCACAGAAAGCTGGAACAATTTGCGCGGTAAAACTCTAGAAAGACTAGCCCAAGATGATACCCATGACTAATGCACTCGCGTCAGTTATTATGAATATCTCCCGTTTACTTTGAGTGTGCATTGTGGTTTCAATGTTTTGATAACAGTGTTTCTCTATGCGGCCGTGTAAATGCCGCTTTTCTGATCAAAAAGACCTTCCTCGTTTTTGCACCACCTGCAAATAGTTTGCTTGGAAGTCAACGGATGCCCCGCTACTGCACCTTGAAACTTATATGGGTTCGAACCTTTGGAATACCGGTATTCTGCTCTTCTACACTGCTTTCCTAGCGGAGAAATTCTGCAGTAATCTCATTATGTAGAATTTATCAGAATTAGAATTGAACCCAGATACTTCCCTGTACGGATGATTAACCTATATAACTTTGGTGGATTAACAACAAACCATGTTGCCTGACTGTTTTTAAAATTACTAAGACCCTCTTCATCTGTTTCTCTACATTTTCTACGTTCACGGTCGACAGCTGTTTTAGCCAGAATCTTATCTTATCATGTACGTTCGTCGCCATTTCAAATACTTCATTTTCACCACAGTGGGATCAGTAACACAAGTAGGAATACTGAAAGGACTGCTGAAAGTGTAAGACAGCTCCGGGCCAGTTTCGCTTTTCTTAGGGTTCTTCATGTAGTCGCACTTACTGAGATCCCATCAGCCTTGTGTTCTAAACGATCATTTAGTTGAAGCGAACCATCATTGATGGTTAACGTGTGTTCCCTGTCGAAACCAAATTTGTACGCAAGCTGAAGCATTTGTCAAAATCTGTCCAAATGCGTCTATCTGATGAGCCCCGAAACGGGTGAAGTATTCTGTTTCATAAAGTTCTCATATTTTCATTCATCCGCTACGAAGCTGAGAAAATTTGCACGTTCTCCGCTGGTATTGAATCAGTTCACATCAAGACGCCTCCCTTCGACCGAAATTAAGATATGCGGATACTCGCCAACACCTATCATGAGTAACTATTTTTAATCTCGGGCCCAGTATCCGCTCGACCTTCAGTGTGCCTCACTGACAAACTTCCGCGCTCTTTAGCATCATGGTTGGCACATTTTCATGACAATGCAGAACTCTGTTGGTGTTAATTAAGGAGAACCTTGTGGTAACACACATTACTGTTTCATTGGGAGCAACGTCAGGGATTGGTTCAGACCTGAGTGTGGCATGCCTGGTCCTCGGTCCGTAGTAAGCGCGTTGACTAATTCGTTTGTATGTCTGGAAAAACTTCCTAGCTAAGATTGCGTTATCTCTCCGTCTTCAGGTTCCAGAGGTAGCCCAGGGCACAAATCACCTAATGGAGTTGTGCAAAGCCGGATACAATCCCGAAATCCTCATCGAGTCTGTCCACAACATCTGTTACTAACGGGCACACATTATGTTGTGCGATTTTACAAAATAAACTGAATTCCAACTCGTCCGTACCTTGTTTTGCCATCATCACGAACCGTGAGTTGTGTTTTTCCATCAAGCTAGCCGTCAAAGATCGTTCGGAGAAATCCGAAAGCATTTGGGTAAAATCGCCAGGATTCTCGGGCCCTGTGGACTTATGAAGACTCCTCTGCAAATCTGACGTAGCAGTGCAAGATAGGTACACAGGACGAACAAAAATAGGCCGATCGGCCGCCACAGGTAGAACAGCTACCTGTCGTCCGTCAACTCAAACACACTGCTCAAATTTCAGTGTTTCTCGTGGTCAGTCAAACCGTGCTAGAGACGCATCATCACCTTTGACCACATCGACTTGAATGTGTTCTCATACTGTAAAAAGTCATCTTATATTTAGATGAAATCGGTGAGGACTTAGTTTGTCAAACAATCAGGCTGGTAAGGTGTCTTTTGGAATTGTCTGTTTTGGCCTGTTGTTCCCTTACCACATTTTCAACCTGATGCTCTTGTATCAGATTCATCAACTGGTTGATGTTCATGCACGTGGGATGGGAAGGGATCGAATCCAAGGCAGGTGCATCTACTCTGGAATCATTATCCAGGTACTAAAAGGGAGAAATTTTGGATACACCGAATGTGCAGTACCGCAAAGGAATCAGCGCCATGGACAGACGGTTTACCATGGAGGAATAATACCTCCTTAGGAACTGACCAGTAAACCGCCAGACGACAAAACAGGCCAGTTGGTCACTCGGATGACACACAAAAAATCTGTACAACTATTCTTGAAATGACCTGCTACCCTTAAAGATTGCTGAAAAACCTTCATCAAGTCACGGCAGGTCTCACATTTTTAGGTTTCGTTTGATAGGTATATGATATGACATTCTATTAAAGCAAGGTTCATAGAACATCGCAGACGAATAAATCAAAGGCGAATCAACGCCACCGAATAGATACGGTGTGACAGTTGATTCACAAGTTGCACGGATGTGTCTATCCTGGGCCTAACGTAGAAAATGATTCCGTACTGGACAGTCGTCTTGCCGTTGAACAGACTTGTTAACCCGCAGACTGCGACGGAAGTTTTTTATGAAATGTGGACAACGGTATAAATACACTCTTACACTACAATGAATTAGTTGCTGTTTGGAGCCAGGTAACATCCCCTGTACTAGAGGCCAGCCACTACATTACACCAGCACGAAATTCATCGTCATTCGCTAGTTGGTAACTTGTTCTTCTGACCGCAAGTAATCGGCGATAAGTAAGCCGAGACGCCTGAATTCCCTGTCCCGTTAATTTTGTGTTGACTTTATAAGAACAGCAGTCATAACTTTTCCTACTATCGCAAGGAATGTGCTTAATCCGGGCAATCCACTGGCATCCTACCGCATACGAAACATCAGTGGCTGGTATCAGTCCAAAGCCTAAAAATCAGACGGCAATCCCATTACTTTGATTACACACAGAAGAAATGACGAGTTGGTTCATTCATCGCCGTGCGCGAATTACTCGTGATATTATTTGTATCCCAAGGATAAATCACATAAAATTTGCCGCTTCCTAGGATGTCTATAACACCGTATGCAGGAGCATGTTATTTGTGCCAATCAAAAGATAAAGGTGAATTGGCATTTTGTGCCCCTGGGCTGCAGGTTAACAAAAGCAAAAGTTGTCCTTTGCTTCCCAGAATGGAAGATATACGATTGAGCAATTCGTATAAAATTAACATGTCATGTTTTGTCCGGACAAGTCGTGAAACGAAACGGGAGAAGAGAATCACGCACCTCGGTCCAGCCCCACCTTCCAAGTTTTAAGATTTCGAACGATGATCACGGTACAACTAGCAGAACTCCCTATTGGAGTGAGGACATTTTCTCTAGAGAGCTCGAGATAACTAAATGGTTAAGGCACGATCGTACTGGTCGAAGGGTTCGCGGTTTGGGCTCAACCCTGACATTTCGCTCGCTCCTGTCTAGGATTGAGCAGTATCTCAACCCTCGTAAACGTTTGGGTTGCATGTTACAACATCTGAGTGGTTAATCCATATTGTACGCAGATGTGCTTCCTCCATTGGTGCTTGAAGATGGGCATACTTAAGATCGATTTTTGAGAACAAACATAAACCTGATTAACAATAAAATACCTAATCGTGCTCTTCTGTAGTGCATTCACGTTGTAATTACCGCGTGTTTGGCGTTGACCGGTATTTTCCACAAATTCTCGGAGTAATCCCGCCAGCCTTTATTGGTGTAAACATCGGAGCTGCCCAGTTCGGTGATTCGACAGGAGTCAGTATTGCTTTCCCACACACTGAATTTATTGCTTCTTGTAAGCCAAACTGAACAATTCGTCTCTTAAAAAATATAGGGTCCCCTCTGACTTCGTGTCTCACTTTTGATATCTGCGTGCCACCATTGGACTTAGAACATACTAGAATCAGCTGTTTGTGTTCCTTCTCATTCAAAGAAATCATTGGGGTGATATTGGTTTCCAGAACTTTAAGTCCAATAATCAGTAGTCCCGTGGTTGAAACTAGAATATTACAGTCGACCGAGGTACCTTGAAACACTCTCACAGGGATAGCGCAACTACCAACTAGGGATTCAAAATGTCCAGTAATACCGTGAAAGTCAACAACTGCAGGCACTTTCGTGACACAGGGGTAGAATGCAGTTAGATCTGACTGTGGAATAATAAACTCAGCACCACCAGTGTAAGCAATACAATTATAAATTTGACCAGACGCAGTTCTAAGAACATGTGACGGATTTCGGGGCAAAATAGATGGAGAAAGATTAGAGATTTCATCATTGACTGGCTTCACGTCAGCATTTGGGTCAGAATTTTAGTGAAGCACTTTTTGGACTAACAGACAATTTGAATTTTTTACCGCAAATAAAATACTTCACTCGTCTGAGGGCATGAATATCTGGAGTTTTTTGTCCAACTGAATCACGCAGACGGAATTTTGAATCACCGGACTAGAGTTACGATCTGTGAAGTGACGTATCGGTTGATTTGGGGCACGGGAATACGTTCGTGTTATCAATTTGTTTTCATTTGGATATTAGGATTATTTCGTTGAGAGTAGTTAAACAACACTGCTTCATCCGTCTCCGTTACATGATTTACTACTTCATACCGCTAAAATATTTCCCGAATAGTTTAAAGGTTCGCCTGCCAATTGGGCATCGCAGACACCTTCGGCTGCCTGTGTCTGCAGCTGCATTACGGAATCACAAACCTATTGAGAATGGAGGCGGGTCAACATATTGAACCTAGCTCTTTCGGCTTCCACGAAGTTAGTCGATTTGACGGCCTGCAAAACTTGTTTTTATTGCATTGAGGGAACTATCCATTGGGGAATCAGAATTTAAAAAAAATCGTATCATCGTATACGTCCCCTTGCCAACAAAATTTAGGAAATTAAATTTAGCAAAATTAATCGTGTGCGTTTCGCGCAGCTGAATTAACCTTTAATGGTAAGGTTTTACATTTCATATTGTGTCAGCATAAAAAACTAAGCACTTTAAAAGCATTGCGATAATATATCTTGCCACAGTGACCGATGTAGCTACGGAAATTTTCGAAAACTAGATGACATGCGAAACTGCCTACCCAATTTGATCCACTTATTCAAATACTCATGCATTTTAAGTAATTTGCAGTGATTCAGTTGATGCTTTAAACCTCATTGCGACAAACACAGGCTTCTTTTCAAAATCACAGAACGAATAATCCACGGACAGAGTCAGAGCCCCCTGGTATAAACTTGCATTCTCTTTCAGAAACGTGGCCTAAATTAAAAGACATCTGTGCGAGCAGTAACCGCGACCGACCCGTAGTTACACATCCAAGATTTCATGAGACCCTGGTTTGAACATAGAAAAGATTTGTGTAAAGTGATAAAACTTGACTGCGTTTATTCGTATCCCTTAAACCTCTCGCAACGTCCAAAGATTTTTCCGTCTTCGTCTGCAGGATATGGTAAGTGACCGATGTCACTCGCGTTTTTGTTATCAGTCTATCTCAAGAAACAAGGTTAAACTTGATCTCCACCGTAGATGTATGCTTCCGGAATTTCGATTTGGCTTGGGAGCTCAGGATAATTCAGTGCTCAACTCCAGAACTTACTGACCGTGGTTCGAATCCAGCCTCAGCTTCTCGACTTCTCCTGCCCGAGCTTGGGATACCCGGTTATTGCACAGCTCATGTGCTTCCCTCGGGCAATGTGGCGGTTGCATACCAAAACGGTACTGCAGTTGAATATTACTATTATTGTTATTATATTCCCAATTTTAAAAAGGCTATTTTGCCACATTGAATTTCCGCAGATTAAGCTTAACTGTAGTGCTGTGAGGGTCAGAAAGGTAAACTTACGTGAACACCGCTGCGCATGTTGAAGCTTTCACAAGCAATTGTACAAAGCGCAAATATCGGTAGGAGCATCTGTGGAATGCATTTGGTTTGACCGTCAGGCAAATCAGTAAATCACACTGAGTTGATGGACTTCTGTTTACGGACTTCCTTTTAAAAATATACCACGTGGTTTCCTGGTACACGCCAAAAATGCGCAAAGTGAAATGGCTGTTGGAAACCGGAAGATGGGAACTCCGAGACCCAGTTGATTCTAGACGGTATGGTGTATTGAATCAGGAGATGTTATGCATGCCGGGACTTCTGATGTGCTGAGGCTTTCAAAGAAACCTATTTCTCCCACCTCTTAAATTATCTCTTGCACTTTATTAGAGTAAACCCTCTTTATTTGGCCTACCGAACAACAAGGCAAACGTTGGGCCAAGAAGAGCTGATCACTTGTGCGATTAACGCTCAGTTAAACTGGATATAGCGTCAACCATCCTTGAATCACTGAAACCAAATCACATAGTCACATATTGTTCACAGGTTACTCGGGTGACGGCGTATCAAAAGAACATTTCAGACATCTTAAAAAACCATTATTTCTCTGATATACTCATAGATTGCTGATGTAACAGTTATACTACAAATGACCATTTTAGCCAAGACAGCTCGCGTGAAGTTCGGTGACAACGCTGGGTCATAAAGTGGATCACAGAGAAGTTAGCCCACTGCCAAAAAACTGGCAGCGATCACGGATTGTGCTGTTCCCCATTCAAAGCGGGCTCTACGGCAGTTTCTTGGACGCGAAGCCCACCACAGCCGGTTTGGTAAGGATTTCGGCATTGTCGTTGCTACTGTACGAATTGCTTGGGAAATTTGAGTGGACCGGAGAATCTCATGAGTGTGACAACGCGCAGATGTTGGACTAGCAAGTGACCATCGAACTGTTCAGGGTCGTAGAGGTGTTCACCGTTGCAACGGACGCTAGTGATCTTAGTTTCGGCAAAGTCCTAAAACAGTGAATGCAGTTGCCAAATATGCCTGTCATATCCTGGCTAAGGCTGAACAGAAGTACTCAGCCATTGAGAAAAATGTTTAGCGATCGTCTGAGCCCTGGATAAATGGAGGCCATATCTGCTTGGGCAAAGATTTCATGTAGCAACCGATTGCAACTACCTGGAGTAGATGAGGATCACAAGAGATCCTCGAATAAAGCTCGCGTGCTAGGCAGTCCGACTGCAAGATTGCAACTCATAATGCAGCACGTGCCAGGGAAGGAGAACAATTTGTCTCATTGCCTGTCAAGAGCAGAGTTTGAAGATGAGATCCTCAGGTTCATGATTGGAGCCAGTGGCCTCGCCGTCGGAAAAGATCCTGCAAGGTTGGTGCAATTCTAACTGCACGATCCTGTTTGACGAATGATTGCAACCGCTTTGTTAGATAGAAGGAGCATTGAGAACAAAGAGCAAGACAAGGAATCGCAAACGATCCAGAGTCACTATAACTGAGTGAGTTTGAATAAATCTGGCATGATTTACTGGAACGCCACTGATTCTGATATTGTCCTACCCGTGATGCCTAGCGTTTTGAGACGGAAGCTCTTCGTCAAATGCCATGGGATGGCGTATACTTTGGCAGAGGGCCTACTGTCCCGGGGTGAGAAGTCCGCTGATGGGTTATGTGGTGTCCTGCTAGTGATGCCAGATGATGGAAGTGGACACCACAGGGGCAATCCCACCAATGGCATCTGCTGCTGTTCCAGAAGGCGGCGACTTGTGGCGACGACGACAAGCGGATTGTTGTTGCATCTCATCGTGGCCAACCATGGGGTGCCAAAATGATCCTAAGCGATCTGGTTCCTTGCTTCAAGCGCGAGTTGTTTAGGGTTTGATGGCAAAAGCTGGGTATCAGACGGCGAAGGATGGCACCATACCACCCTCAAATAAATGGACTCAATTGAACGATCAAGGAGTGGCCTACGGACCAAACGATTTAACTAGGAGTTGAACTTGCTAACCCATCGTGCTTCCATACAGCCAACCACAGGCAAGTCGGCGTTATGCCGACACACAGCCGAAATCCGTGCCTTTCAGTTGATCAAGAAATTGGCTTGTGGCCGGCAATACGCTTGTTTCCGGGGCAGCGAGAGGAAGAAGAAAGGAGAGCTCGAGAAAATTTAACCGCCGTTCAGGAAAGTACTAGGCAGAAAACGGCAAGTAGAAATGTATGAACATTGCTCGTAGGCGTGAAGGTCAAGTGGAATGATCACCAGAATCCTGTAAGGAGTGGACCCGGGTGGCCGAAGCTCTGCAGGCGATGGCGCGGTCCGTTTGTCGTTACCGACCGCCTGGTGAACGTCTATGCGATTCAAGATGGCCGTGGATCTAAAAGAATAAAGGGGACGCAGATCCGTAAGCGGCATGTTACATCGGAAAGGCGGCCGACTAGGCCCGCTGCAGTAGTCGACCTGACGAAGGTAAACGAAAATCGATGGCAAGCGAACAACTTTAAGGTGGTGTGTGACGCTGATACGGCTGAATGTGGGGGGCATGCGAGCACAAAGCTCTCTTCTTCTAAACTCGCTTGAAAAGGGTGATCTTTGCGGAATTTGTTCACTCACTTTGTACCATTTGTCTGATTTTAAACAACACTGATGAATATCGAGGAAGGTTCAGCAAGACGCGTTTAAGTGAAAATGGGTGTTCAGATTTCGTAACTAGGATGCATATGAAACGTTTGCCTAACTGTTCAATAATATGTCACTAGTCAGTTAGCATTTTGTATTAATTTACTCCGCAGCAAGAGCCTTATCCCTGTCACTGGTATTTTGGACAGGTTGGGACAGTTCCAACTGGTATATAAGTTTTCACTATGACGTTTTAATGCAAATAGCCGCATTATTGTCCCAGGGGCAAAAGGAATTTTAAAGGTACCCATAAAGCCAGCAGATACGTGAAAACAATTTTTGTAGACTCAGAATGCTACTCAGTACTGTAGGCAGCGCATGGATACTCAAGGAATTCATCGAAAACACCACAAGTCAATAATGTGCGCACATTGTTGGAATAAGTTTGCACAAGTGCAAATGATCAGCCACTGAACAAGCTGATCAAAATGGATGATGTTACGCTGATCAGCATAAACTTTGTACCACAGACCTAGTAGATTTTTGGTGGATACCTCTTTTCATATTACCGCCAAACATTTCTAAGGCAAATTTCGATTCACACGAGACAGTATAAAATGTCAGGCACAAGAATCTTCAAATAAGCCTGAATATGATGCCAGGTTGTTCGCTTCTAATTCCCTTCTTGTTCTGCATCGTCCGCGTTGCATGTTTGGAGGCCGTCGGTGTTCACAATTGGTCATCCTCATTTAACAATAATCCGTCGAAGAACTGGGTTGCTCCTGCCGCTGGTTCCAATACCTGGGAAAATGATCGACATCAAATAGTTTTCCGTTGGTTGTTTGTTGGTTTTAGGCTCAAACATTCATCTAAATCCCGTAAGAGAGGGTTTTCAAAGTGGACGTTTGCAATAATGGTCCCCCAAAAATGTTGTCTCCCCTAGTTGTCTCCATGGCTGTGATATTTCACATGGAAATGCGGTGGATCGAAAATGCAGCCAATATACTCAATACTGGACATATTTTGTGACTTTCATTCGTTTTCGTCAGTATTTCTTTGTCTTACAACGATATTTTGCTTTGGATAGGGTCGATTCTTCGGTCCTATTAAACTCAGATTTTAAGGAGGTGCATAATATGATTTAGGTTAATGGGAATCCGACATCGTCACACATAAGTGTTTTACGGTGCGTTATGTTAGGGAAATAAGGGCCTGTAGGTGGAAGTTGTGGTATTGTATCAAACACGAATTCGATGGTTTTCAAGACACCACTAAACATCTGACCTGATATTGTAGCTTGATCATATCGGGGGAAGGCCCACGGGCCCCGCAATACCGTAGCCTAGAGTGACCTGCTGTATAAACCAGGTCTCAGAAATCTCAACAAAAACCGCTGACGTACCAAGAACATTGGCTGTTACCGGAATTACTTGGCAATGTGAGTCGATAAATCTATACTAGTTAGTGAGATCGAGTAGCGTGTATTTGGAATAAGCAAATAGAAATCCATCTTGGTCAAATTCGTTCCTCTGCCTTTCTATCATTCTCATGGGGTTATATGTGAATCGTATTCAAAATGTTACACATATTCAGTGTGTGTGTATCCATTCTTGATATTCAGCGGGTAATATTTTTTACCACTGAGTTCCACCGCAAAGTACCATGTATCTAGTACACAAGCGAACGACAGCTTCGGACGTATTTTCGAAGTCAAAAGATACTAAGTTTGCACAGCTCCGTTGAGCAGGTCGTTGTTCGGACACTTGCCTGAATGTGGAACTGTGGTCCACACAATTCCTTCCAGAGTAGAATCATGCATCCTGGACTTTGGATAATGCATCCGAATACTGCTGGGATATGTGATACTCCACCAATTATGGAATATTCTACACACTACTTGCCTCCTTCCGCCTTCGTGCCTCACTCTGCCCGGTATCCTTAACTCACATGTCATTTGTGTTCTCATTAAGGCGGACGTTTACCACGCGTATCAAGTCGTGTGTGCAAACGATGTTCCACCCGAGAAGATATTGCAAATAATCCCAAGTAAATATAGCGTACAATTTTCGCTATATGGTAGCAAATTGAGTGTACAAAACCCGCTTCGTTGTTTGGCATTAACGCGTCTCATTTGTTTGCCGTCCTATCAGATATTCGTTTAATTGACGCGTGTTCATGACTGTGGACAACACAGGACCCTGATGGAAGCAACACATGCTGATGGTGTTCATGAGGATGACGATGGTGATAAAGATGTATATTCGTTTGTACGCTCGTTTGAGTAGTATGAAATGAATAACTTTGATATCTGGATGTCGTTTTATTGCTGCTGCTGCTGATGATGATGATGATGATGATGATCACGATGATCAGGATGGTGATGTGGAAGATGATGATGACGACGACGAGGAGCAAAATGATAATGATGATGATGATGATGATGATGATCAGGATGGTGATGTGGAGGATGATGATGATGACGACGAGGAGCAGGGTGATAATCGTGATGATGATGATGATCAGGATGATGATCAGGATGATGATTTTGATGATGGCCATCAGGATGATGATGGTGATGATGATAATGAGCAGGATGATGATGATGATGAGGATGATATGTATTCGCTGATTTGTCTGTAGACTGAAAGTAGTCACATTGGTATCTATATGCTTTAGTAAATCACATGTCTGATGATATGGAGCAAAGAGCAAGCAGACAATCTAGTACGCTAAACATTTTGTAATGCAGCCGAAGAGGAGGGAAATTCTCTGAATGTGAATTTACTTAAACGGATTACACTATCCCACAAAATTTGTAATTTTCTATGTTGTGGACTCTACGGCGATCATTGGAGGATACCTAAATTATTTCTCGGTAAAGGTTTATTAATCACACTCATTCGAACGTGTGACAGAAGTTGCACTCACGGTCGGGAAAATTTACACAAAAGGAAGCCCGAAAACAAACTTGCAGCAGCATTTATGAACCTTTCGTTTCTTTCTATGCGAACTATATGTTAGATTCTCTCAAAAAACCCAATGAGGCATTTTGTTCCTTTAGGCCAGATTCCATCACT